CGGGTGGGGGGGGGGTGGTCCAGCAAAGCCGCTGGACCCCCCCAGCAGACCAGGGACACCCAAGCAAAGCCGCCGCCTGGCAGCTTTGCTCGTCTGAGGCAGAGTTGCTCTGCCCCAGGCTTCCTGGAATCAGCCGCTGATCAGTTTCAGCAGCAGCTGACTTGGGGATGCCTGGGTTTCTTAAGTTGAATCTGTATGCAAGTCAGAACTGGCATCCAGATTCAGCCTCGGGTGGAGTTGCTCTGCCCCAGGCTTCCTGGAATCAGCCGCTGATCAGTTTCAGCAGCAGCTGACTTGGGGATGCCTGGGTTTCTTAAGTTGAATCTGTATGCAAGTCAGAACTGGCATCCAGATTCAGCCTCGGTTGAAACTGATCAGTTTCAGCAGCGGCTGACGCCAGTTCCGACTTACATACAGATTCAACTTAAGAACAAACCTACTATCTTGTACGTAACCCGGGGACTGCCTGTACTGTTACTGTGATAACCTGCCTTCACTCATTAGGCTTCCTAATAAATTACAGCAAATCAATACTCATGCCAACCCAAACAATCCAATTCATTGGAGCGCTCAGCTCAATTCGATCACAACCAGAGCCTCTTTACCGACAGTCAACTCGCATCAGTCAACTTGCAAAATCGCTTCAAGAGATACCAGTAGTTGGGGTTTACAACTGCCTTCAACTATTAGGTCACATGGCATCATGCAGTCCTGTGGTCCCAAATGCACATCTCTTTATGACAGGAGGTCTTAACCTTTTTTCCTTCACACCTCCCCTGAAAGTGAACTTCATGTTCAAACCCCTCTGGGAGCCATTTTGTGCACAGCCTAGCCCCGCCCCCTCATCTGACAGGAAGCTAAGGGGCGTGGCTAGGACTATAAGAACTCTGCCAGGGAGCTCAGTCAGGGCCCAGCCTCTGAGGGAGACAGAGGCCTGCCCAGAGCCGCCTTCCCTCAGGCCAGTGAAGGTTTCCCTGCCTGGGCCGCCGAGGCCTAGCCAAGACGGCCAGCAGGGCTACCCTCTGACCTAGAGGAACCCAAGGCTCTACTGGTGCCTGGCGATTCGGAGGACAGGCCTGAGCTGAAGGCCCAGCTCAAACCCCAAGGCCTGCCTGAACTCTGGGACCTGGCGAACCAGCTGGACGCTGAATGCAGCTGTCTGAGCTAATTCCCAAGTCTGACGGCTGGTGGCGCTGTGCAGTGAGTGAACCCCGTTACAATGCCTAAATGAATAATATGAGCTTTTTACTTTGAACCTTTTCCTAACAAATGTACGTAATATTTGAAGATGAAAGTCGGCAATGCTCACGTACTGTTATTGTAGTGTGTCGTCACATAGGCCTGATTGATTCGCACTGCTATTGTAG